ACTGTTCAGGTAATAACAGCAACTCCCTTTGGTGCTGTGTCAGTAGAATCCATCCACCATTCCCCATTTCCCCCCCAGCATATCACTGCTTGTAGCAGCAGCTGTAACACCATGCCCTCTCCAGAGTGAGCCATCACGTTTCAGAGCTACATTCTTCCAGGGTTCTCAGAGTGTGCCCTTCTTGGTAACATTGCCTCGTTTTATTTATGTTCTAAGGTCTTCTGAACAAGTACAGTTCTGCCCAGGTGCATATCTCCTTCTGTGTCAGGCAGAAAAGGACATAAAAAGCTAAATAACAGAGGGAATACTTGTGCTAGCTGTGAATTTACTGGACTGAAGGAGAGGAGTTGATCTCCATCCTCTCGTAATTCCTGGAGTACCACCCATACTTTGAACCACACACAGTGGGTAACGTCTGCATGGGTGTTGGTGCCCTCCTGCCCTGCAGTTAGCCTCATTCTGGAATGCTGCATTCATTTCCAAGGAGGGGCAGCAGTTACCACCTTTCTTGGAGAGCAGGTAGTAGGATACTTGCTGACAGCTCCTGCTGAGCAGTCAGTGATACAGCTTTCATAGAAAGGCATTGTAGCAAAAAGTGCATTAATACATGTTTAGCTATATTCTGGCCAAAATACTTAATGGTCATATTTGATAAAGCTGTACTGATGACTCAAAAAGGAGGGATGTTTTACTTGGAAAGGGAAACCTTGGACACTGCAGTGGGTAAAAACCTTCTATTTCCCAAAACATTTTCAGCACAGACCCATCAACTGAGCTTTGATGGTAGAAATGCAGAGAGCCTGTGCGTTTACATGAAAGCAAATCAAAGCGAGATGAGTGTATACTGGGAGTTGTTGCCCAAATCAAAAAATTTCCACTTCCTGATGTGTTTAGGTCTTACAGTTCCATCACACCTTTCACTTACCACACACTTGGGATCGCGCGATACCGTTGGCATCTATCCATTTTCCTTCTGCAGCTGCAGGAGCCCTGGGCAGAGCTAGGGGCGTCGCAGTTCTCCAGGTAGGATCTTAACCCCGTAGAGGGTTCACCTCTGCTCGGGTACTCTGCTGAATCTAAGGTGGTTTGGTTTGGGATGGAGGCAATGCCCTTCTTTTTGTGCTCCCAACCCAAAGGTGCAGGAGTGCTGAAACAGGCAACATAGGTGCCTGGTTGAGCAGAAGCATGGTAGAAGGGCCAGCCTTGGAGATGGCTTTTTTAAAACTTACCCTTTGAGTGCTGCGCTGATCACCAGACATTCTGTAAACACTCTTGAAGCAACTGAGCCCCCATAGGGGAAGAACAATTCTGTGTAGAGTGGCAACTGCATGGAATGAAACACACCTGCTTTTCTTAAGAATTGGGAACTGCAATGCAGAAACAGGCCCTTGAATTAGGAATATCTCTCCATCACAGGACAAAGGAGGAATAAGAGGAACTGGGGCTGCTTGTGCATTTCCAGTGGAAGAGGGTTTTTCTGGCAGCAACAGGATGCAGAGGGAATCTTGGGGATTCTCTAACAGAACTGCTGGCTCAGCCCTTGGCTGGCCTTTCACACTCTTCCACGTTTATTTTGGAATGAAAAAATAATAGAGCATTCACCCTATGCTCCGTACACGAGGTAGCTCGTCATCCTCTGGAATGTGAACTCACTGAAATGGGTGACAGAGCAGTGTTTCTGCTTGACTGTAACCAAACCCACCCTCTCAGCTAAACTTCAGAAAGCCTTAGTAGGTGTCTTGTAGAAGGCGGCTCTACCAGAGCTGCAGGCAGCAGAGGAAGCCACTTAGCTTGTCTTGCAAAAAACGTTACTTACTCAAGAGAAGAAGGACGCTGTTAGTGTCCTTTCAGAACAAGCTACGACAGGAAGAACTGAAAGAGAACGGTGCTAACTCTGCTTTTTGTAACTCCTGGCAGAAGGCAGAGGGGACGGGCAGCCACAGCTCACGTGCTCTGTACACGTCAGCACACAAAGGACATCAGTTCTGCTTCACATGAGCCTTTTGATTGAATGAATGAATAAATGAGGAAAACCTACTTTGGGCCATTCATGTGGTATCTGTGGCAGATTCAGATGCAGGTAGCCTGAAGATGAGGGACTACTACCACGTTAAGAACGTTAAGAGGAAAAATATCCCCCAAAGCTGTTAAGTACTAGCAGTAGGATGAGTTGCAGCTGGCAGTTTCTCATTCAAACCATACTCTGCTTGTCTTGAGAGAGAGAATTTAATAGAAAACCTTCATTTTAAAAGGGATTAAGGGAAGATAGTCTGAGCTAGAGGGTGTTACCCTGCCTGTGGGAACTGCAGTACGCTTTGTTGTCATTTAGAACTGACAGTGTGTCTCTGCATAAAACTCACCAGACCCCTTGTACACATGCATTGTTTTCTGGTCTTCAAACCGTCACCAGTTTATTACAACTCGCAGTCGCAACTATGTAGCTGGGACACTACTTTCCACTCTGAAGGAGATGCTGCTGGGGCATGGGGATGAGGACGTGTGGCACAGCAGTGACCTCTGCAGTGCCACAACCTGGAACCCCAGGAGCTGCTTTGCCTTTCAGACAGGCGGTTCTCTGCCCATAATACTGACCATTTGGTGCTTGTTGGCTCATCCTGCCTTGATGAACCTGATGCCATTTTCCCAAGCAATTGCATCACTTGAACAGAAAATACCCTTTTTACAAGTTAGAAAGTTGCATTTGATCTTTTTGGCATTCCTTGTAAAGCAATGTGCTATGTCCCAAGTAGCAGTTGTGTTTTGATTCTTAAACATAAACGTCTCTACGTGTGTGTGGGTGTACATATGTGCCATAGGGGATCACAGATGCAGGGTGTGATCTGTGACAACACAGCTACCAGTGGTCAGCTCCAGGTCTTTCTCCTTAAGGTGTGGGAGTTACTCTTTGGTTTATGCTGATTGTTAATTTTTAATGGTGTTCCATTATTTTGTTACAATCTTCATTTAATGTTAAATCACACCTAGTGGATGCGTTAGCACACTGGATCCCCAAGAGGTACAGGATTTGTAACAGGTTTCAAGTTAAGCTCTATGTTGACCAGCTTGGAAGAATGTGGACCCATTTTCCTACAAGTGTTCTTCAGAGGTCACAAGAGTTGTCAGCATTTCCAGTAATTTCCATACTATATGAAAACAGAAGTATTTTTAAAGTAGTTTAAGGAACTATTAAAAGTAGTTTAAGGAACTATTTATTGTTAAAAAAGCTATTTATTGTTCCTGTTCTACCAGAGCTGAAGGTGCAATATTTAGCATAAAAATTAATCACATGATCACTAACACTACCTGCAGAACACTACGAATAGCAGCTTCAGCTTCAACAGGTGAACATCCATCAAAACCACAGTACAGGAACCAGAACAGTACCTTTGAGGCCCCTTTCAGCTACCACAGTTACACGGGACATAGCACTGGTTATTTGTGCTATTTTACCTTTCTGCCTCTAACTGTTTTTCCTTTTTTAATTCTTTCAGATGCACATTGAAGCTGCTAAGCTGCTCTCTTTCACTGAAGAGGAATTCATGAAAGCTCTTGAGTGGGGAAATTACTGATTCCATAACAAACCAATTCCTGCTCGGAATACAAGTCAGAAGGTACATTATTTTTCATACCTTCCTATATATGAAGTTAATAGTTAATAACTGTACATCCCAGGGAATTAATTTGCTTATGGTTAAATCGCTTCATGTGTATAAGCCTGAGAGCCTGTGCTGTAATGGCATGTGAAATACAAGTTTCTACTGAAGTTTAAGGCCAAAGTGTCCATTCTGTAATGCGCAGAGAAGCACAGACAGTGGAAGGAATATTCCAGCAAGTGAGCTCAGTTATCAGTTTGCTGTTTTAGCATTTAAACCAGTACCTTATCTAAGGTAATATTCAGTCCAAAGATGTCCAGGCTTAGTCTCAGAAAACTCCTTGCTGCAACAGAACTGAATTAATCAGCGATGCAGCTGAGAAGCAAACATCACATCTTTTTAACACACGTGGCTGGAAAACTGGCCCTGCCTGTTCCCTGGAACAGATCTCCCCTCAAAGCTAGTTGGTCTGCATCTAATACAGCTCTCTTGTAGAAACGACCATAACTTGTTTTAGCTGTAACATCTTACGCCGTTGGCTGGCAAAAACCTACCTCAGACTCCCTGATCCAATACAGTTGTGTTGTTTAACTCTGCTGCTTTTGTCAGGGTGAAAACACTAAATCTTTCCCTGGCCAGCAGCTGCTGCTTTGGGATACAGATGGGAGCCATGCCTCCAGAGCCTCAGATGCTCTGCAAGCACTATGTCCTCAAAGGCTTCATCACATCATCGTTATAACCAAGAACTAGCTAAAAGTTGGAGTGTAGATGAGCGTATCACATACATTAATGCACTGGAGCAGTAACAGCCCGTGCTGCTTGCAGGAACCTCTGTCAAACCTCAACTACTTCAATGGATTCCTCCCTTGGAGTAACTGAACAGGAACACAGCCCGTAAACAGCACGTTTAGGCACTGAAAGGGAAGCAAAAACGGTGACTCTGACCTCAGAACAGAAAAATGTCCCTGCTTCGATCCTACCAGCAAAGTAACAGGAACTGTGAAACATTTCAGACCTGGCCCTTGGAGGTGAGACACTGCCTTCAGAGGAGTGTTTTAACAATGTCACGCCAGTGCGGGCAAGACTCTCAAAGACAACCAGCAATAGCGCGTTAGGGGAATCTTGCAGTCCAGAGTGATACACGTGAACTTACACGAGCTTGGATCTCTGCAGAGTGGCGGGGAACACACCGTGAACACTGCTGCAACACTAACCCAGGCCGGCTGAGGAGTCATAGCAGTTTATTGATGAAAAATGCAAGTACTTAACACACATGTAAATAAATCCAGCTTCTCCTCAGCTTAGAACTCCAGCCTTGAAATGCAGACTTATGGTACTAAACAGGAAATCCTCATTACAAATCAGATGACCCCCAGTGGCGAACCAGGAGATGAGGTGGGGGAAGTTTCAGCTCTCTCCAGAAAAGGCATTGCCTCTTCTCTTCTGATAAGCCAACCTGAATTCCTCTCCAAGCATGTTAATGTCATCTTCATCTTTGAGTATTCCCTGCAGTAAGGGGAAACACACACATGTCAGGGGGTAAATCACAGCAGGGAGATTGTTAAGGAACTCAGAGATGTTCCGTGGAAGTGAGAGGAACAGCTGGTACCCGTGGCACACTGTTAGAACAAAGCACAAAATCCAGCAGAGGGGTTGCAAACAGTGTCCCTCGTGCTACCCTAGAACTGCCTCTTGTTCTTTGCACCACTGATGGCGAGAGCCCCGCAAAGATCCTGACGTCAGCACTGTGCAGGAGACAACGCTTATCTGCATTCCTTCCTAATGAAAGTGACCGCGGCCAGCACAGGCAGGGTAAAATCCAGCACCTGCACGGAAAGAGGCACCGGCTGGGTGAGGCTCTGTCTCCCCCTTCAGTTGTGCTGAAATTAGCCCATCAGAAATCAACCGATACTGAACAACTTCACCAGAAACTGTCTTTTGGGGAAGGGAAGCAGGGGAACCCAGAAATCTGACTCTCTACCTGTATCTAGGTTAATTTTAGGGCTTAAAAATACCCACAGAACATGACCTCCCAGCATTTTAAATATAAATGACAAACAGCACCTATATGGGAGAGCCTAGAATTAGGTAGCACTTTTCTACATGACCTCTGTGAGTGAGGTTAGGTGATGTGTGACCCCAGCATTCAGACACAGCGTTAAGGCAGAGAAAGGAACAAAGTATATATCATGGAACAGGTGTGAGCCCTGGACACTCTGAAATAGCCTTCTACCACAGTAAATTCAAACTAGAAAACTGTATCAAAATACTGCCAATCTGAGTTATCCTTTACTGAAATCTGTTAGAAAATAACTCGCTCCAAATTTTACAAGTCATGCACTGCATTAGCATATTAGTATGTGAATACACGTTATACTCTGCTCTATTTCCAGTGTTTTCTAGTACTGTAGAAGACAATTCCCACTGTAAATGCACCTTCACATCCCTGAAGAACCTTGTTTCCTTCGTGTGCCATCAGGTGATCTTCCCGATTATTGAGTACAATACAAAATAAATTGTAATTTTTACCTACTACAGTAATTGCTTCCATCTTTTTAACTTATGAAAACACAAGGATGAGCTGTGAAACGCCGCTGTAAGCACTGCGGTTTATTGCGCTGCAGAGGAGGCCTTGTTTCCATGGTAACAAAAGCCTTAGACAGGCAACGCTAAGGAATTGCTCCCAAAACCTCAACTGAGAAATGTGGGGGAAGCAGGAGTTAAGAAAAGGCAGGCCTCTTTCCAGCTAGAAAAGCTAGTTTGGAACTTAGGTTCCACATCCCAGAAACGGGATGTGCGAAGCCCCGCAGCAGCTTTTAGCAAGCTCCGTACAGGCATCAACATCGCACTAGAGCCCAAAGCCCCTCCTACAGAAAGGGTATTTTTGTAAATTGCTTCCCAGCTCAGAAAGAGAAAAAAGGAAGAGGTAAGCACAGGAGAGCTGGTGCAATAAGGACACCCACTGACCCCAGGAATTCACCGTTCTGCAACTTCACCGTAAGCTACCAAAGAGAAGACAGGACAAACGCTTGGAGCACTCAAAATACAATTCGCTTACCCGAGGAAGATAACCCAGTAATTTAGATGCGTGCTCTTTCAGGAGTTTCTGTCTCTCTTCTTCAACAATTGCACGGATGTTTTCTTGTCTTCTCTCCTCTAACTGTCTTTCTTCAAGTTCACGCTCCTACAACAAACAAGTTGTCGTAACTGTTCCGTTTCAGCTCTGTGAACTTTTGTTTCCACCAATATCCACACCACAGTATAAAGAGAAAATTGGTTTAGTGCAATAGATTTTGAGCTTCCACTTACTAACTCCTGGTCATGGAAATTCATCTGAAAAGGACGGAGAAGTGTACGTGAGAACCCACAAAGCTCGGTTTGAACAACACACGTTTGGTTACTAGAAAGACCTCAGACAAGAGCAGACTGAACGGCAAGACACGGGGCCAGGCTGCGATGTAAGCGTGTGCTCTCACGCTAGAAGAAACAGGAGAAATGGGCACCTGTTCTTGTGCTGATGACTCGAAATCTCAATTCGTGTTACATGTGTGACTTCTGCTCTATAAACAGGTCTGAAAACTGCAGTATGGGATTCCACGACTTGTTTTCAGTGTATGCCTTTTCCTGCTCAGGTGATAATCTGAGAGACTCAATCCACAATCAAGGCTGGGACTTGCCCTTCCCAGAGTCACCAGCGCTGCTGACAGGGGTGCTGAGCAGCTGTGTCACTGATCCCACGGCTCCTCAGGAGAGACTTGCAGAGCAAGTCGGGTATACAGGGCTCTAGGGGGGGTGCCAACCCCAACCTCTTGAGCTGCAGAAGAAGCTGGCTCTGTTTTCTTGTCAGCAAACCAAACCAAAGGCCTGCTGCCCCCTGCACGCTCCTCCGTACCCCCCCTCCATCCTTCTTAGTAACAGCCGCCTTGTCACTTAGGACAGCGGAAGTATTCTCATTCTGAAACCCCTGGGCCCAAACCGAAGGCGCACGTGAAAGCTCTTACTTTATCTGCAATAAACTGTTTGCGACGGTCTTCAATAAGTTTTTCCACAGCCCTTCTGTGTTCAAGCTGCTTCATTCTTCGTTTCTGAGCATTCATCTGTTCGAGGCGATCATCCTCCGCAAACTTGGCCAGCATCTGCTCTCTGAAGGCTGCCTCCTCTTCCCGCATAGCTTGGCACGCTACCTCCTTCAAAGCCAACTGCTCGGTGTACATCTGCCTTAAGGCCAGCCGCTGCCTTACTCTCTTTTCACGTTCTGCCTGTAAAGGAGATACAATAAAAGTGCTGAAGGACTGGAAATACTTCAGAAAATTTTGATCAGTGTCAGCCAATTTATCTTGGAATAAATTTACTGTAGCTGTTAGCTCCTAGAATGATTAAATAAATGGAGCAAACCTGCCGTATCCGACAGCACTAGCCAGCTTGGCGTATGTCTCGAGATTCTCAACATTAAGTCCAGAATAAAAGATTACTTTTTTCCGGGAGCACAGAGTCAATCAACACGTCAGCGCTCCTGCTCAGCACTCCAAAACTCACAGCCTTGTGTATCAGAGCCCGTGGTGCATTTTGGTGGTCGCCCAGATAAGGGTAAGAGAAGATAGAACGCGGGTGTGCGCACAGGAAGAAGTAAGCAGGTAATTAACCTACCTAACTTAAACCTGAACTTGAATGTTACTAGCAGTCTCCGTCACAGGAGAAAGAAGTATGTAAAGGGGACAACAAGGGCATCCAAAACCTTCAGTTGTCCGTCTGGTTGGAATTAGAACATGAATACATTTGGAATAGCAAGGGAAACTCAACAGAATTACCCCTCCAAAAACTATGTTAATACACCAACTGCTTGTCTACTTAAGAACATTTAGGAGGTCGTGTTGGAAATAGACACTTTGTGCCAGAACAGAATCAAAACAGGTTTGTTCCACACACCTAAAACCCTGTCGGAATTACGTGTTTGCTCTGAGAGAGCTCAGAGACCAAAACAGGCTCAAGGATGTCCCTTGAAAACATCCCAGAGTCACAAAGAACACTGCAGACTGAGCAAATACCAAGGGTGGGAAGACCCCACCCCGGTCCCCGAACAGCCCTGCCAGCTATGCAAGGGGGACGCTGTGCAGATGGGAGTTACGTGGCCTCTGGAGAGCATCCCGAGGTGCAGGAAGAACCGCATGTGGGGTACACGCTCACTAAACCATCCTTAACGGTCACAGCTCCGGTGACAACATCCAAAGACTGGAGGAGCACTGCTCTATCACAAAGACATCCAGAGGGGCGAAGGGACAGAGGAAGACTGTGCAAAATACTGCCCGGTGCATACACTTTACTGCCTATTTTTAGATCAATGATTCAAAATGGTTGCATTTTTTCTGTAAACCTGGTCTGTTTAAATCAGTCTACCCACAGCTACATGTGCTCCATAAATTACATGTTTTCCCACTTTTTTATTTTATAAATGAAACTATTTTATAAAAGTTTGATGCAGACCAGCTCCGCTAACCTGAATGTTCTGCAGGAGTTACAGGGAAGCTGCAATCCTCCCTTCCACTCGCATTTTCCATTAAGAGGTTACGCACAGCTACACGACATACATACAACATATAGGAAGTGGTAGCTGACAGGTACCAGAATGCCACAGGTCTATCTGCAGGAGAAGTCCAGGGAAGACATTCCT